TTAGAGTTTTGGGTCTGTGCCTTATAGATGTGCGAGGATTCAAAGTATGCATTTTGGGGATCCCCTGTAAAATGCAAACCCTGAGAAGCTGCCCCTCCCAGTCTTATGTTCCTATCTACATCCTCACCCGAGCTACTGCAAAGATTGAGAGAAGGACAAAAGTAGGTATTTCGTATAGCTCTCACTCACCTCTCTCGCTGCCAGGACTATTGTTGTTAACTGTGAACGGTCACCCCACTCTGCTAAGAATGTTAAAGTAAAAGCTTGAACAAAAATTGGAGAAATAAAATGCAGCCACTTCTTCTGAGGTATATTTGCACCAGGCCCCGTTTCCACATCTACTGGCCCATTTAACAGCTTAGTTCTCTGGAGCTGGAATACAAACAGCACATTGAAACGGAAATGTCATGTCAGATACCCAAAGCAAACAGCAGACAAAAATACAAGATTGGTACTTTGATTCCCAAGTTACTATTAGTCACTGAATGCTGTTAGCTATTAAATGTTTACGGGTAGTATCTTAATTTACATAGCTGTGGTCATTGCTTTCTTCAAAATTACTATCTTAAAAGCTATATTTCTTCCACATTAAAATGTTTGTTCTTTGTTTTGTCTGCTATGCTTTAAAAGCAGACAAGACTTTCTTTTGGAAGGTGACACATTGACTTGTTCTCTTTTTAAATTATTCTGAGAAGAAACTAATTGTACCCATCACCTGCCTGGAGAACCACAACTGATTACTGGGCATGGTGACAATGAAACTGACTATCACGAGAAATGAAATTAATGCTCCAAAGAAACTCTTCTAAAACTATGCCTTGGAACCATAAGTGATCTGCCTAGAATGTTATAACCATAATGAAACTAGCATTTGCTGTGAGCATTTCTATCATTGTACTGAGTGTTGCAAAAATTCAAGCAACCATAGTGCTAGTGTCATTATCATTTATGCTAATAAACCCCATGGATAAAAGACTGCATACTGGAAAAAACTAAGGGAAAAGGAACTTTCCCCGAGACAGCCCTATCTTAGAGGATTATAGCCAGTTCTTAAAACAGCTTCCTGGAGACTATCAGATGATGCACCCACTTGTAAAAAGGTCATTTCTGCATGATGTGTTAGTTTAGCTAAACATTTGCAATATTAGACCTTCATCCAGCATATGTACAGCTGAGGAATCCAAGGGTGTGATCTTTCAAGCAGTGCAACTTCAGAGCACTAAGTATTTCCAAAATCATCCCTACTTCACTCACTTCTTCATCTTTTTTCTTGATTTCTGCTTGCACTTCCTCCAATTCTTCCTGGCCCTCATCTGGGCTCATTTTCAAGCCTTCCCGAAGCATTCGGATACCAAAGATTGCAAACAATGCAGTTGACACGTAGTATGTGTACACCCGGGGAATAACTGTGGTGGCATAGCCAAACAAAACTGGAAGAAAACAAATAAAGTTTGTTGTTTATTATATACAGATTCCCCACAACCAGACTACCACAAGCACTCCTGCTATGTGAACATCCTGCTCCTTAGCAAAGTTCACAGTTCAGAAACTTATTACAGAACATTTAAATGCTTCATTTGCCACTCCATTCACACGTTTTTCTTTTTTAATAAAGAAAAAGTTAAGGAAGTTGGGCATTTCTTGAGCATTACTGACCACACTAAAGACTAGAGGCCTATTTATCCACCAATCTGTTACAGCAAGGACAAGGTTTTCCGCACAGCCATTCCAGAGTCTTAATCTCACTCCAGAAGCAGTTAGATGCGTTAGCCTAAAGTGCCACCTTACCGTACACCTTCCGATTTCAAACTGGTTCAGAGAAGCATAAGCTTTTGCCACCAACAACCAACTCTGTCAATAGTAACGTTCACATCTAAAAAGCAAGTTGTTACCTTCAAAAGCTTCTGCCTGAACTAGTTAATCCCTAAAGATGCCACCCTGCCCTACCTTCAACTTGACCCCAGTAGATCTACTTCCAGAGGCAAGGCCTCTTGCCCTTCTTATCAAGAATATTAACAGAGGCATCAGCTGTAATAATCTGAGACATGTACTTGTGTCTACTAAGTCACATACTAAAACAGCCAACTAACTCAGTTTATAACTTCAGCCACTGGATAATATTTTCCAGTCATTTCTGATTGGGCCAAACTGGAAACAATTTATAGTCTAAAAAGGTACTGTGTTATTAGAAGTGCACTGATACAATCGGTCTGATATTGGATCGGTACCGATATAAGGAAAACTGGCTGTATTGGATATCGGCCCAATGGGGCCAATACAGGCCTGTGCTGTGTGCAGCCGCAGTGCAGCACTCAGGCAGTGAGGAGCACAGCTGACAG